ATTTTGAGAAGCGGAACGGAATTTTGGGGGACCAGAAAGAATGCAATAAATAGGAAGAGGAAAGGAAAGCGTATACGGACGGACTTTCGAGAAGCGGAACGGAATTTTGGGGGACCGGAAAGAATGCAATAAATAGGAAGAGGAAAGGAAAACATATACGGACAGAATTTTAAGGGACCGGAACAAAAAGAGAGAAAGAAAAGCGAATGGATGAATTTATTAGTTCCATTAAGATGGAAAAATTTTGAAAAAAGAAATGTTCATTTTGTTTTTGTTTTTTTTTTTTTTTTTCCACATTTTTACGCGATAATTACGACGTTTATTAATCAAATGTTTTGTCGTTTTTTTTTTTTTTGTTTTTTGGATTTTAATTATTTAAATTATTATTTTCATAGATTTCGACGGTTGGTTTTTTGTTTTTTGAAAAGAAACAAATTATCAGGAGAAAAAAAAAAAAAATCCTTCGAACAAGTTCAATTATCTGTTACGCATTTTTGATATTATTCAAACGAAAACGGACACATTATATTGATACATTCTTCCGAGACAATATTCTTATTATTATTACATCCTTATTATTACTACAACTACTACGGTTATTATCACTATTTCGTTTTACTTTAATTCTTCCTATCTTCCTCTATCTCTTCCTTTTTTTCCTGTTGTATTTTATTTTTCCCATCTTCCCTTTTTAATATTAAATTCGAAATTATTTCTCAACAAATCTTTCCTTCCAATAAATTTTATTTTCCTGGGATACCAAATTATCAACAACAACAACAACAACGATTACTACTACCACTACTACTACTGCCACTACTATTGTTATCAATACTACTACTAACTATTACTACTACTATTACTATTGTTACTATTACCACTGATATCATTGCTTTATCAGTAACAGTAATCTGTTTGTAAATTGAACTATTGCAGATTACTAATCACTGTAAAGCTCTATTATTAACTGAGTAATATATGCTTTGATCAATATTTGCATATATTATTTATTTCCTTCTGTGCTTTTTTTTTCTTTCTCTCCTAAACAGAGAGAGAGAGAGAGAGAGAGGGATCAAAAATTTTTGAAATTTATATTTTGCATTTAACAAGATCTGCCATACCTACGGAACATTCCATATCATTGTTATTATTATTATCATTATTGTTATTGTTATCATTTATTCATTTTTTCACTGGTATCCTTCTATTTTAGACTAAATTCTGTATAATTCATTATTTCTTTCTGGCTATCTATTTCTATTATTATTTCAACAAGGAAAAAAGAGAAGAAAGAAGAATTTTAAATTAAATTAAAAAAAAAAGGAATTGTTCCATATAAATTTTCCTCACAATTATATTTGAATTTTGAAAAGAAAATTTTTCGATCTCTTAATTTGCATAATCACTTTGGAAATTCGCTTATCAGTTAATATAATATTAAGTAACAATTCTGTACGATCAACAATACATCAAAACGTTACCATCTTGCATCATATCAATTCCAACATCATCATCATCATCATCATCATCATTATCAACGGCAACGCTGTTACCATATACCGTTGCTGCAACATTTGATAATTTAAATCAATCCGGAAAATTTCCCAATACCACCACCGTATTTTATCCGTTCTCAGGATATACAATAACAAGAACAACAACAGCAACAGCAACAACAACAACAACAACAACATTGATACCAGCTGGTGAAACTCAATTGGCATTTCTAAGCCATCCAAACGCAAATATTTCTACTAGAACTTATTTTCAACAACCGTATCCCAATTTTCAACCTTCTACTACAGCTGCTGTAACAGCTACAACATTTCTTCCCGGTAATATCCTAAAAAATACTGGTATTACCGGTATTCCATTCAGTACTAGTAACAAACGTAAATCATCACGGATTTACGGTAATAGATCGGATAATAAATTATATCGTGATAATCATTTTGCTACTATATCTGAATCATCATCATCTATAACACCTGTAAATTCAAAAAAACGTGTCTAAAACTTGACAACAATTCATTTTCCGGTACAGTATCGGAAATTACACCAACAGCTCATTCCTTTGCAGCCGCATGTATGGCTGCATCACCTATAAGACCGATAATTGGTCAGCAGCAACATTTGTCGCAACAGCAGCTTATAATCACTACTGACATCAATAATCGTCATCAGTGCCGTAATCATCATCATCATCATCATCATCACCATCATCATCGTCATTCTAACATTAACGAACAGTCGTCACGAATTGCTGTCACATCATCAACCGCTCTCAATTTACAAGAATCTGCCTGCGGTAGAAGACAACATTTATCTATGGATCAGGTGCGACATTCGCAGCAATCACAATCACAAATACAACAATCACAATCGCAACAAGATTCGCAGGAACAAGTGGTATCCTCTGGATATGCCATTGATATTCCAAATATGTCATTTACACCTAATCATTCTCAATGATAATCACTCATCAAATCTAACTTTTTTTTTCTTTTGAAATTTAATATCTGATTTTATATATTTAAGTTATTTCTGATATACGATCAGATGATTAAATTTAATCTCCTAGCATCATGCGTTGTCTCTTTCAGATCAAGACGAAGAATATCCTATCAATTGTTAACTAAATCTGTTGAATAAATTCTCTAATCGAATAGCTAGTGTTAATCACTGATAATCATAATAATAATCATAATAATAGCAATAGCAATAATAATAATAATAATAATAGTAATAATAATAATAATAATA